TATATCGTCTAGGATTTCGATTACAAATCTGTCTTAGAGATGAGCAAGTTGCTCTGGTCTGCGACTACTCACAGTGATTTTGCAAATCCCATCAACAATACTGAAAATAAATAAATATTTTAAAAATTCTTATTTAAATTTGCAAATTGGCGTGGCATTTAACAGAATTTAATAACAAGTTTATTAATGACAAATCTGAATGCTCTGGTCTGTGATAGTGTCACAGTGTAATTGCAAATAATTTCAGTATATTATAAATACTAACATACTAATATGTATTTAATCAGAATTTTGTATTTAATATACTAATTTGTAAATCTATAAGTCTCTACATCCCTAAAGTTGTAAGGAATTGTCGAACGTTAATAATTACATTGTAATTCCTACGCTTACATGAATTTGCATGATATATATATATATATATTGACATACATACATTTATATACGCATACCCATATAAATAAATGGTATATTTGCATAATAAGGAATATAAATAATCATTATAGCATAATATTCGAGGCTATCATTCCATTGCATTTAACTGCAGCCCTGTTTATAAGAGCTATCGGCTAACAGCCAGTCAATTATCGGCTAGCCGCCACATATTCTTTCAATAGAAATAATTTTAGCAATATTAATAAATGCATTGATTACATCTACCTGCAAGCCGGCGCAATGGACACATATACGGTGGATATTGTATATCAAGCGATAAGTGCATTATTCCAAGGCACCAATCCCAAGGAGCAGGAAAAGGCCAATAAATGGCTACAGGAGTTTCAAAAGTCGGTAAGTTTCAGCCTACTCCGAGTTTGGCATCTGCTTTTCTACAAATTAAAAACGTATGCTAACTAGTCACACTTGTTGCTCTAGATTTATTCATGGACCATTGCAGACGAGCTGCTGCACCAGAAACGAGATTTGCACGCCAATTACTTTGCCGCTCAGACGATACGCAACAAAATACAAAACTCCTTTAGCGAGCTGCCTCCCCACACACACGAATCTCTGCGAGACTCCCTGATCACGCATTTAGCACAGATCGACGAGCACACGGACAATGTGATCGTGACACAGCTCAGCCTGGCTGTGGCTGATTTGGCGCTGCTAATGGCTACGTGGCAGGAACCGATTAGTGATCTGATAAAGGCCCTCGCTCCACATCCTGCGGCTATTTGGCCATTGCTGGAGGTGCTGAAGGTGCTACCCGAGGAGATTGATTCGCGGTATTTGCGCTTGGGTGCTAATCGACGGGAACAGGTGCACAAGCAGCTGGACGCCAGTGCCGAATGTGTATTAGAATTATTGTGCATGTGCTCGCAGCGCAAGGATCTGGATCAGCAACGGATTTGGATTGCCACGCTGAGCACGTATAGCGCTTGGTTAGCTATACAAGCGTTCCCTCTATCTCACATCTGCGACAATGCGCTCTCCCAGCTCGCCTTCCGTCTCCTCAGCCAGCCAGCGGAAACGTCGAGCAAACTGCACGACAATGCCACCGAATGCGTCTGTGCGCTGCTCAGCTGCATGGGCTCGCGCAGCGGCCAATTGGAGGTCGACCCCCAGGTGACGCGCATCTTTGAGGCAGTCTGTCAACTGGAGACGGCATATCACTTAAGTGTTGCTCACGAGGACACCGACAAGACGATCAACTACTGCCGTATCTTTACAACGCTCTGCGATGCATTCTCCGTAAGCATCTACGAATCACAGTATGCGATGAAGGGCCTGGATCTGG